TGGCATGGAGATCCTTGTTGTGGCCACGCGGCGGCGCAGACCACCGCGGCCTGCGGCAGCCTGGAGAGCGCAATATTGTCCTGGCACCCGCCGCAGCCATTTTGGCGCGCGATTGGCATGGAGATCCTTGTTGTGGCCACGCGGCGGCGCAGACCACCGCGGCCTGCGGCAGCCTGGAGAGCGCAATATTTTCCTGGCACCCGCCGCAGCCATTTTGGCGCGCGATTGGCATGGAGATCCTTGTTGTGGCCACGCGGCGGCGCAGACCACCGCGGCCTGCGGCAGCCTGGAGAGCGCAATACTTTCCTGGCAGGGCGCGGGTGGCTGCACACCTGCTGCGCGGCGTCGCGGAGCTCCAGCAACACCAGGGCAGGCAGCCACGAGGCTTGCCCAGGGCTCTGGCGGTAGCGCTGGCCACGGGCGCAGCCCGGGCGGAAACGGGTGTTGGGCCTGCGAACGCCGCCGCGCAGGCGACGGAGCAACCCGCTGCGCGCCAGGCGCATTCAACGGCTGAGCGCGAGGAGCTGGCCCTGCGGCAGGCGGCCGAAGGGGCTGCCGCGGCGCTGGCGCCTGCCCGCTCCCACAGACTTGGGCAGCACCTCTTGGGCCAGCTCAGGCGCGAGGAGCCTGCTGAGCGGCCGGCGGAGGCCGCGCGCGGTGCCGAGAGCATAACTAGGCGCCGCCCTTCAACAGACCGAGGCCGACCGACGGGCGGCGCTGGCGGAGGAGGACCGCGAAGCATTCTACGAGGAGGCGGAGGGCCAGCTGCAGGCGAGCCAGAAGGCGCAGGCCACGGCCGCCACGGAGCACGTTTCCTACAGCTGCGCGAGCGCCTGGACCAGCGGGACCGGCAGGCCGCGGCGGAGGCCGAGGTGCAGGAAATGCTGGAACTGGAGACGCGAGCGGCGCAGGCGGCCGGCCCCGCGGCTCAGCCCGCCGCCGCCGAGCGCACGGCGGAAGACCTTGCGCTGGCGCGGCAGGCGGCGGAGCGCGCGGCCTTGCGGCGCAGCGGCCTGCAGCAGCGCGCAGCCGACCTCGACGCGCTCGGGAGTGCGCGGAAGGCGCGGCAGGCGGCCAGGCTCCGCCCCAAGGAGAAGCCGCTGCCGACGCGGGAGGTGGCGCGCAAAGAGGCCACCGGAGAGGCCGAGGAGCTCTTCCACGAGATGGCTGCCAAAGCGCAGGCTGCGAGCGCAGACCGCGCCGCAGCCGACGAGGGGCGACAGCGCCCCCCAGAGCAGAGCCCGTTGCTGCCGCTCAGACGGAGGCGCCCGGGCGCGGGGGGCAGCCGCGAAGGCGCGGGCCGAAGCGGCAATGCGGGGACGGCGCTGCAGCAGCAGGGCGCCAACGCCAGGGGCATTGCGCAGCAGGGCGAGCTGGAGGGCGATGGGGGGGGCGCAAGCGAGAAGGAGCACGGGGGCGCCCGAGCCTGCGGCCCGTCGCCAGGGGAGGGGCGCGCCCGCAGCCCCCGAGCGCGCGCGAGGTGCCCGCGCGAGGCGGGGGGCCTCGACGCGTGGCAGCTCTGAAGGCCTGCGAAAGGCCCCCACTCTTCCCCATCCTTCTCCCCCGCCTCCCCCCCCTCCGCACGCCTCTGCCCCATGCGCGTCAACCAGTTCGGCGCTGCCCATCGCGCTGGTCGCAGCCCCGCATGGAGCTCCACCGACGGCCTCAGCGGCGACGTCCGCGCGCGCCCGCCCCACCCAGAACCGCGTTTCGTGGCCCCGCGAGGGCCCTCCATCGAAGGCCGCAGTGGCGACGTTCGCATGCGATCGCATCATCAAGCACAGCGCTTCGCAGCCTCACGCGAAGCTCCACCGAAGGCCCCAGTGGCGACGATCGCATGCGCACGCCCGACCTCGCACGGCGTTTCGCGGTCCGTAGGGAACTCCACCGACGCCCAGCGCGGCGGCGGTGGCACGCGCCCGCCCCATTCAGCACAGCGCATCGTGGCCGCACAAGGGGGCCCCTCCGTGGTCAGCCGCGCGCCGCGCCTCACGGCCTCTGTCGAGCATCGTTTCGCGCCGCCTGACCGCCGGCTCGCTCCGAGGCCGAAACGCTTCATCTTCCAAAAAGCCCAAGGGCCTAAAACACAGGGGCCCTCGAGAAGCCAAGAAACGCCAGCCTGGGTTCGAGGGCGCTGCCAGAGGCGGCCTTGGCCCAGGGGCGCCCGGGCGTTCCCGCGGAGGCCCAGCTGGCCTCAATGCGCGGCACCCCTCCGGAGGAGGCAGACGGCCTCAAGGGGCTCCTGGGTGGCGCGGGAAGCCGCGGGCATCCTGGGCCCTCCTCCTCCTCATCCTCCTCATCCTCCTCCTTCCGTCGCCATTCGGGCTCAAGATGTCCCCCTTGGGGGCCGCTCGGCCTCCTGGCCGCAGGGGTGCCGCTAGACCGCGGCTATGCCCCGCTGCATTTTTTGGCACGTTCGGTTAATCTCTAGAAAGCCCATCCCCTGGTCGCCCCCCCCGCTACCTTCTCCGTCGCGCGGGCCCCGGGCTTCTTCTTCGGCCTTAATCAATATTACATATGGGTAGAGCGGTCGGTTTGATTCCCTGCAAACGTAATAGTTTAATAGTTTTTTAGCAGCCCAGAAGGTCGGATCCTGTAAAATTAGAGTGGATCCTGGTTGGATCCCCAGCAAATCCCCACCCGGATCCCCAGGCCCGGATGCCCGCGCCACGGTTCTGAACCCTGGCTCTTCACCGTTTGCAATATCCTGGTGGGGCCTTCCGCTTGTTCTCCTGGTGCCGAGGCGCGCTTTGCTCGAAGGCTGCCGACGACGCTTTGCCTCTTGGCTTCATCGGCCGATCTTTAAAATCGCACCAAGCTAACTAAGCGTCTGTAGGGGGTGGACGAAACCCATTCCCTTTTTGCAACGCGTTCCTCTCTCAAACCCGGGGCCATCAGCGTGTGTGCCCGATCCAAGGCCCATCAGACGGACGCGGCGCCTCATAGCGTCTACCCGCCCCCCCTGCCCCCTGTGCTGCCAGCCGAGGGGCCGCCGAGGCTACTTCGGGCGCGGGTGCGGCCGCGGCCGACCCACCTCGCATCCTTACCTCGCCGAGCGCGCTCAACTACTCGCAGAGTGCCTACCCGTAAACGTCCAGACAACTACGTGCCTGCTTCGACGCAATGGATCGTGATTGCCCCACGGCGGGTCCATGCCATACGCGAGATGCTATGTTGCAAGTGATGGAGCGCGCCGATGTTTCACCATGGGCTTACCTGGGCCTGTAGATCGAAAGTCGCTCCGCGAGCACTCGCTGTGTGCCCCACCCCCACCAGGGCAGGGCCCGCGCCCGGAACTCGGCAAGGAGCCCACGGATAAGACGTCCGAGATCCAATGCCACTGGGCAAAACATTACAACTCCAATAGCCCTTGGCATCGAAGGGGCGTGTCCATTTTGTCTCGGAAGGGGCCATCGAGGAATCGAGGGGCATCTCGGAGCATCGTGCGAACAGAAGAAACGCACCAGATCGGATTGTGCACGGGGAGTGAACGTCTCAGCGATGGCGGGGGCCGCGGGGGTCGAAGAAGATGCCCAGGCGCGTCCCGCCGGCAGGAACGGATGTGGAGGAGGAGGTGGAGGTGGAGGAACAGGAGGAAGTGGAGGAAGAGGAGGAGGAGGATAGGAGAAGCAGGGCAAGAAGGAAGAGGAGGAGGAGGAGGAGGAGGAGGAGGAGGAGGAAGAGAAGCAGCAACAGCAGTAACAGCAGCAGGAATACGAGAAAGAGGACGAGGAGGAGGAGGAGGAGGAGGAGGAGGAGGAGGAGGAGGAGGAAGACGAGGACGAGGACGAGGACGAGGACGAGGACGAGGACGAGGACGAGGACGAGGAGCGTGCAGAACGGGGAGGCGGCCGCGCGGGGCCAGCACAGGGACCCACGGGCGCACCGACGGGCCGCTCCTGCCCAGACCCCCCCCCCGGGGCACGCAGGAAGGAAAGGAAAAGCACGCGGGCACAAGTAACCGTCGATGCCAATATGGGGGACGAAGAATGACATAAGCGTGCAAGCTCGAAGGTCCGCGCGAATTTTTCGGACCCGCGCTGGACCGTGGCGGCGCCTCCGGCGCCTTCCCTGGCGCGCGGAGCGCGCCAGGGAGGGGGGTCCAGCGACGATCCGAGAAATCCGCGCGGACCTATGTCTATGTTATTCTTCGTTCCCCCAGCCAAGGGAAATCTGGAAAATTCGGGAAGTCACGAGGAGGGCGAGCATCCAGAGAGCGCTGGAAACATGGAAAAGCGTGGGACCTGTTTCCATGTATTTGTGTCCCGGGGCCCCTCGAGTTGAAATGGGTGGCTGCCGAAATTGGTGGTTGGGACGCATGTGGCTGCGCCACTGGGAGCCTCGGATGGAGCTCCCCATGGGGGCACGAGGCGCGTGAGGGATGTGCCGAAACGGAGGGCTGGAACGCACGCGGGCTGCGCCACTGGGGCCTTCGATGGAACTCCCCGTGGGGCCACGAAGCGTGTGAGGCGTGTGGGCCGACATGGGTGGCTGAGACGCATGCGGGCTGCGCGACTGGCGCCTTCGGTGACGCTCCCATAGGGCCAGGAAACGTGTGAGGGGTGTGTGCCGAAATGGGTGGATGAGACGCATGTGGGCTGCGCCACCGGGACCTTCGGTGGAGCTCCCTATGAGGCCGCAGGGCGTATGAGGGGTGTGCCACCATGATTGGCTGGGACGCATGCGGGCTGCGCCACTGGGGACTTCGGTGGAGCTCCCTATGAGGCCACGAAGCGTGTGAGGGTGGCTGGGACGCACTTACGACGCACCACTGGGCCCTTCGGTGGAGCTCCTTATGGGGCCACGAACGTGTGAGGGGTGTGCCTGCGATCATCTTGACCGTGATTGTGATAATGACGTCGATGACTATGATGTGATGTTGGTGGTGTCGATGATGTTGCAGACACTGATGCTGCTGCTAATGATGCTGCTGATGATGATGCTGATGATCATGATGATGCTGCTGATACTGATGATGATGATGATGATGATGATGACGATGATGATGATGATGATGATGATGATGATGATGATGATGATGATGCTGATGATCATGATGATGCTGCTGATACTGATGATGATGATGACGACGATGACGATGACGATGACGATGATGATGATGATGATGATGATGATGATGATGATGATGACGTCGACGATTGAGATAGCGTGGCTGCTGCTGCTCATGATGAGGATGAGGATGAGGATGAGGATGAGGATGAGGATGAGGATGATGATGATGATGATGATGATGATGATGATGAAGATGATGATGATGATGATGATTATGATGGTGATCGGAGGTTGGGGGGTGAGATCGCAGTGAAACGGAGACCCCCCACCGGGAAATCGGTTTCGGTTTCGTGTTCGTGTCGCGCGTGCGGGCGAGGTGAAGCTGCGCGTGATCCTCCTGTAGCTAGGCGGGAGTAGGAGCGAAAGTCGGTTTCCCGTCCGCCGGTGGCAGGGAGGTGTCCCAGTTGGGCCGGGCGGTGTCCCGGGTGTCCCGGGTGTCAGTAGGAGCGAAAGTCCGTTTCCCGTCCGCTAGTGGCCGGGATGTGTCCCAGTTGGGCCGGGCGGTGTCCCGGGTGTCCCGAGTGTCCCGGGCGTCCCGGCGCTAGCGCATGTCGCTAATTTCATAATTCGTTGTTGTCTTATCCATCTTATCTTATCTTATCCAACCCATTTTGTCTTATCCCATTCAATCCAATCCACCCAACCCAATCCATTGATTTATTTGTTTCTGCGCCTACGGCGGGCCAATCCAACCCATCTTATCTCATCAAATCCCTTTCTCCCAATCCAACCCATCTTATCTGATCCAATCCATCTTATCCCATTCAATCCAATCCACCCAACCCAATCCATCAATTCATTTTTGTCGGCGCCTGCGGCGGGCTTTCTTAGCCAGTCCAGCTTATCTTATCCAATCCATCTTGCCCAATCCAATACATCTTATATTATCCACTCCATCTTGTCCCATCTTATCTTTCCCCACCCAATCCAATCCATCCAAACCAATCCATCAATTGTCTGATGTCCTGATGGTTGTCTGGTGGTTGTGCGGATGGTTGTCCGATGGTTGTCCGGCAACGAATCGTTTTTCGGCGCCTGCGGCGGGCTTTCTCATTTTGCTTTTGAGGTCGATAGTGAGATCGACAGTGAGATTCACCGATAGGTCGGTCGACGGATAGGTAGATAGTGGAATCTCGTCGTCATCGCGATCATCATTGTGGTTGAGGGAGACTCTGATAGAGAGGGAAAGAGATTGAGATAGAGAGAGAGAGGGCGAGAGAGAGAGACAGAGAGAGAGAGAGAGAGAAAAAGAGAGAGATGAGATCAAGGTTACAGGCTGGAGGTCAGTCAGGGTGGGCATTTGATCTCAATCTTTGATGATGATGATGATGATGATGATGATGGCGATGGTGATGATGATGATGATGATGATGATGACGATGATGATGATGATGATGACGACGATGATGGTGCGTGTCACGATGATGATGTTGATGCTGGTGCTGATGCTGATGATGCTGATGATAATGAGACTGACGGAAACGATGCTGTCGGTTACGACAATGATGAGGTTGATGTTGACGATGATGATGGTGATGATGATGATTATGATGGTGACGATACTGATGATGATTATGTTTATGGTACTTTTGATGATGACGATGATGATGATGATGCGGATGGTAATGTTAATGGTGATAATGATGATGATGGTGTTGATGCTGATAATGATGATGAGGATGATGCTGAAGCTGATGATGACGATCATGATGTTGATGATTATGGGTATGGTTATGATTATGATGATGACTATGCTGATTATGATGATGACGCTGATGGCAGGTGATGATGATGATGCTGATAGTGGTGAGGATGATGATGACGATGATGTTGATGGTGATGATGATGATGATGCTGATGATGATGATGATGATGATGATGTTTATGATGATGAGGCTGATGATGGTGGTGATGATGATGGTGGTGCTGGTGATGATGCTGCTGCTGCTGATGATGATGTTGATGAGGATGAGGATGAGGATGAGGATGAGGATGATGATGATGATGATGATGATGATGATGATGATGATGCTGATGATGATGATGATGATGATGATGATGATGATGATGATGATGATGATGCTGATCGTGCTGATGGAGGGGGAGGAGGAGGAGGAGGAGGAAGGGAGGAGGAGGAGGAGGGGAGGAGGAGGAGGAGGAGGAGGAGAGGAGGAGGGGAGGGAGGAGGGGGAGGAGGAAGAGGATGAGGAGGCGGAAAAGGAGGAGGAGGAGGAGGAGGGAGGAGGAGGAGGAGGAGGAGGGGGAGCTGGAGGAGGGGGAGGAGGAAGAGGATGAGGAGGCGGAAAAGGAGGAGGAGGAGGAGGAGGGGGAGGAGGAGGAGGCAAATGAAACGATGACTCAATGCCACAGCATTGTTCGGAATAGCAGCGGGAGGTTTTTCTCGATGTTCGACTTCTGGGGGCCCTTACCGGTGCCCGGGACAGGCAAACATCTACTCTGGAAGGGACACCGGCACCAGGGTCGACGTCGTGACAAAATCATGGCGTCGGGTGTCTGGACCTTCAGAGTGTCGGGCAGAATCGAGCACAATAAGGGAGTTGTCGTGGCAATCTTGGTGCATGCGCAGACGCTCTTGCCCAAGGCCCGAAGCGCCCGCCCTGGTGTTGGTCCCTCCGTGCAGCTCGCCTCCCCGCTGGTTCGGGCACCAGACATGGACCTGCAGCGGACCCCACGGGTGCTTTTCGAGGTGAGCGACGCAAAACAACGGGTTCTTCTTCGCTGGCATTGGCGCGTCAGCTGCCCGCGTAAGGTCGCGCGTAAGCGCCCTCGTCTCCAATGTGGCGTGCCGCGCCAGCGGCCCGCGCAAGCTGCGGCGTAAGTTCGCTGTGCCATCTCGCGTTAGACTTAAGTCGGGCGTGTCCCTCTACTGGAGGAATATTCCAAAAGAGTCAAACAATAGTCGGGGGGCGTTGTTTTATGATTATTGGTTGACCATTCTGGGGCATTTGTTTGACTATGTTTTTGTTCGTCCAATATCCACCTGTAGAAGGACAGGCCCGACTTTACGTTAGGCCCGTTTTTGATCGACGCTCAGGTGACCTCCTCCAACGAGCTCGTCTGCACTCCCCTGACCGCAGACAGCGTGCCTCGGGCCGCGCTCCGCCCGGCGGCGCAGGCCAAGGTCCCCCTCCCCAGCACGACTCCTCCTCCTCCGCCTCCTCCTCCTCCTCTGCCTCCTCCTCCTCTGCCTCCTCCTCCTCCTCCTCCTCCTCCTCCTCCTCCTCCTCCTCCTCTGCCTCCTCCTCCTCCTCCTCCTTCTCCTCCGCCTCCGCCTCCTCCTCCTCCTCCTCCTCCTCCTCCTCCTCCCTCCTCCTCCTCCTCCTCCTCCTCCTCCTGCTCGCGCCAAGGTCCCCCTCCCCCGCACGAGCCTGCGCCGAACGTGCGCCGAGTTCGAGGAGGCGTCTCCGCGGCTGTCCTCCCAGGAGTGCCTCGGCGATCGCGCGGGCCCGACGCGGAGCGAGCCCGTAGGCCGCCTGACGTGTCCGTCCCCGGGGCAGGCCGAGGGCAAGGCGGGCAAGGCGGGCGCGAGGCTTCCCGCGGCGCCAGCCAGTCGCGAGGCCTGCAAGAGCAGCGTCGGCGGAACCCTGCCGAAGCTGGTCGTGGGCGGCGAGCGGCGTTGCGCAAGGGATGCTTCAGTGAGGGCGAGGCAGAGGCTTTCCGGATATGCAGTCTCGCTCTAGAGTTCGGCTGCACGACGGGTGGGCTGCCTGCAGGGCATTCCGAAATCCTCGATCGACTACACGTGAGAGTGACCTTTCGCCGGAGTGACCTCTGGTGCGGGCCCAAAGGGCTCCCCCAATCGCTGAGCGCGAAGCGGCAGCAGCGGCTTCCGCGCCCAGCTTTGGCCACCCCGCGTCCCCCGTTAAGCCGCGCACCAAAGGTCACTCTTCCCCAAGGTCACTCTTACGTGTAGCCGACTCGAGCAGCTGCCTGTGGCCAACGGATCAGCCAGCCAGAAGAATTTTAGTCGAATGTCTGCCCCTCCTGCACGGCCTGAATTCTGCGGGGCCGCTCGCGCACGCGTTGATGCAGAGGCGTCGTCCTTGTTCCGTTCTCGTCCTTCCCATCCTCATCTCGACCTCCTAGTCCTCAGCGTGATGGGTGTTTTTCTCAGCAGCTCCGACGAGCGCACTGCTCGCTGTTTGAATGACGATCGACCAGAATCCGAGGGCATCTGCCGCGGTCGGTATATTCTTCGGGCTGTACCCTTCGTCCGCCGAACCCAGCGCTAATTCCCTCTCTGCGCTTGAGAAGGTCGGGGGCGAGCCCGGGGGGAAATGTGATCGTTACGTTATTCATTGTTTTGCCGATCGGCGCGGGCCCCCCCCCCCATGGAGTAGATCTTGGCTGTTTTTTGGCGCCTGTTTTGAGCGGGTGGAGTCTCCCCCAGAAGCAGCACTCTTTGCAAAGAGTCGCGCTAAGCAGAGCTCTGGAGCCAGACCCCCCTCCCCCCCCTTCCGCCCAATGTCGAAACGCCGAATAAAGAAACGCCCACATTGAGAAGGAGAAGGTCTTCTCAGAAGGCTCGGAAGTCCCCCGGTCTTCTGAGAAGTGTTATAAGCCTTCCCCGAAGACGCAGAAAAAAACTTGTCAGATGGTGCCAGGGGGCTTCTGAGAAGTTCCGCCGCCTTCTGAGAGGGCCTTCTCCTCTCACTCCACCCTCTTCGCTCCAGCCCCAGACTTATGATGTTCCAACCTACTTTAGCCTTGCTCACCAGGAAGAATTTCGAGCGGCAAAAAAACATACCTAGCTGTCGGGCTGAACGAAAGGGGGGGATAGGGAAAGGGGTGGGGGGTACGAAATCTGCTGCATGCAGCTGGCTCCGGCCCCGCCGCAGGGCCCACCCCTCGATACGTGGGCGTTCCCCGGCGCCGGGAGGCGTGGGGAAAGTCCGATATGCGTGAGCTGACTCTCTACCATCCCCTTTGCTAGTCCCCCCTTTCGCTCCCCCCGAGACTGGTTCGCAGACCCTCCCGGCCTGGGCCGGGAGGACGCGTATACGCCAAGCCATGGCCCAGGACGGCTTTGGCCAGGCGTGTCGGTAGTCTACGGATGCGCTCCGCGGGTGGAAGGTGGGGGATTGGAACGGTGTCACCGCCCACCAGACCACCCCAACCTTACCCGAAGGCCCCGATGTGCCCTGCGTTTTCAGTGGGGGGACATGTGAAGCCCGTTTCCCCCCCAACCCGAAATTTGGGCGAAATTCGGGTCTTGGGGTTGGGCTGGGGAGATCTGGTAAGGTAGGAACGCTGGGCGGTGGAGGCTGGAAGGTTGCGGCTGGGAGGCTGACGGGCTGACAGGCTGGGGCTGGAGTGCTGGGAGCTCGGGGGCTGGAGGCCTGGACGGTTGGGGACCGGAGGGCTGGGCGGTCGGAGGTCGGGAGCCCGGAGGTCGGAGGTCTGGGCACCGAAGGCCGGAAGCTTCCCGGGCAGCTCCTTCTAGAGAGCCGCACGGCGGCCCCGGAGATGGTTTCGGCGGCGGTCCAGCCTTCTAGAAGAGGAGGGGGGATCCTCCTCCCTCGAGGGAGGAGGGAGGACATCGAGGGAGGAGGGAGGTCCTCCCTCCTCCCTCGAGGGAGGGAGGAGGGAGGACCTCGGCGCAGGCTGCTGGAGCCGGAAGCGTGTACCGGCAGGCCCTTGTTTCAGCGTTTCCCGCTACGCGTGCCCGGAAGCTCTCCAGAAGGTCCTTCGGAAGTTCTCGGCGCAGGTCCGTCCAGAGAGCGTTGCCGGGCCCTTCCACGCCCTTCGGGCCCCCTGCTATCTGGGCTTTGGGCTGCACAGGTTGGGGGGTGGGGAGGGCTCGGGGTTGCGAGACTGGAGGTTGGTGCCTGGAAGGTCCAGGCTTGGAACTAAGTCGGGCCTGTCCCTCTACAGGGGGAATATCCCAAAATAGTAGAGAATAGTCTGGGGACTATTTTTTGACCATTTTTGAACATTTTGGGGGCACTGTTGGGGTATTTATTTCGCCCAAAATCCACCTGTAGGGGGACACGCCCGACTTAAGCTTGGAAGCCTGGAGGCTTCTGGAGGCCTCCGAGGGTGGGTGGCCGGAGGCTTGAGGCCCAGCGGTCTCCGGAGGCCTGGAGGCTGCGGGCTCCAGAGATGGCATGGCCTGCGGTGCGTCTCGCCTGCCGTCGGCGGCGAGCGAGGGCGGGGGGGAAGCGAAGCCAGCGGCATGCAGTCCCCCCTTTCCCTGCAGGCCCTATCCCCCTCTTTTCGTTCGGCCCGACAGGCTGGTACTTTTTTTCCTGGCGCTCGAAATTCTTTCTGGTGGTCAAGGCTAGAGTAGGTTGGAACATGCCCAGGATGGTCCTGGCCAGGGACGGTGGTGTGTATGGGAGATGTCTCCTGCTGATTCCACCCCCGACCTTTTCTCGGCGGCGAGCGACGAGGGTGGAGTAAGAGGAGAAGGCCCTCTCAGAAGGCGGCGGGACGTCTCGGAAGCCCCCTGGCGCCTTCTGAGAAGATTCGTTGGTTTTTGTTCTGGGAAGGCTCAGAAAACTTCTCAGAAGGCCCAGAGTCTTCCGAACCTCCTGTTCGGATGCAACTCCTGAGAAGTGAAATTCGGATTTTGTCCTGGTCCGAAATCCAGCTGAATCCCGCTTAATCCAGCTGGATCCTGCCTAATCCCGTTTAGTCCGGTCGAATCCTGTTTTTTCCGAGGCCCATTCCGGCGTGACAGCCCCCCAATTGGGTTTCATTCCCTCTAATCTTTCCGACGAAGACCTCCCAGTAGTTGTTTCCTAATTTCTGAGGAGGCCTTCTCCTTATTTCCCCCCCGCGCTCGCCGCCGCTTCTGCGGAGGCCGGCGGTAATAACAAAAGGCGGCGGGCATTAAAGGGAAGGCCCCTACAGCGGTATAGGCTGTTGGAGGGCGGCGGGCGTCAAGAGTGAGGCGTCAATTGTCAGGAGGGGAAAGAACACACAGACACAATTAGTCGTCGACCCCCAGGAAACTATGGAAGTGGGGGGGAAGACGAAGACCCAGAAGATATTGGAAAATATTGGGAATCCTGTTATTTGCGTCTATTGATTTGTGTGTCCCAGGGCCCCTTCAAATTGGTTGGGATCCAGGGTTTGCGGAATCGGCCACACAGGTCCCCCCCCCACCCCCCCAGGAGGCCAACACGTGGCCAACACCGGGTATTAAGTCGGGCGCGTCCCTCTACAGGAGGACTATTCCGACTGTAAAAAATAGTTTTGGGACGGTTGATGTAGTATTTTTCGATATGTTCGCTATATGTTTTGGTTGTGTTTTATTTTTCACCAAAAATCCTCCTGGAAAAGGACACGCCCGACCTAAATCCAGTAACAGCACTGAGTTGGGCTTCCTCGCCGAGGCCATCTTGGGTGCTCCAGGGACCCGCGTCAGCCCCCCCCTCCAGCTCCAGGGGGAGGATCAGTATCGTTCAACCGACCCCCATCCCCATCCCCATCCGCTTCGAGACCCCCACCAAATTACCCCCCAGTTGGGGATGCACCCCTCAAAACCCGAAAGAAGAGCTACATCCCCATCTAGGGGGGCAAATTGGCCAGTGGGGCCCAGGCCACGCCGCTGGGGATAGGGATCGGATAAACGATGCTCAGAGGAGATCGGGGGGTGGTCAAGACACCCTCCCCGCCTGCAAGCTGTATCGCTCACTCGCTGCCGCCTCCTCAGCACAGAAGTAGCACTCGGGACGCAGCATGTTCAGGGGTCGTCTCTGGATGGCCAGCCAACGGGAGCCAAAACAGATCCACTGCTCGCCAAGCGCGTCCGATGCTCCAGGCACCCCTGTGTCCCAAGCGCGCCAGGCGCGCCTGGTGCGCCAGATGCGCGGCGCGATCCGCGTGCGCCATGTGTGTGCCGCATGCTCGAGCCGCGCCAGGCGCGCCACCTTCGGGGCACGCGCAGAGCGTGCCAGGCGCGCCTGGGCACGCGGCAGTACACATCTCGGCGGCGAGCGAAGGGGGGAAGCAAGAAGGGGCGGGGGCCTTCTCAGAAGGCTCGGAAGTCCACCGGGCTTCTGAGCAGTGGTCTGAGCCTTCCCCGAAGACGCAGAAAAAACTTCTCAGAGAGCGTCATGGGGGGTTTTGAGAAGTTCCGCCGCCCTCTGAGAGGGCCTCCTCCGTTTCACTTCCCCCCTCTCTCGCCGCTGAGTTCAGTTTTCGGGTCAAAACTCCGGTCTGCGTTCGGGACGATCCGGACATCCCCAGAACGCTCTCGGCGAGGTGCAGCCGCTGGAACGCATCCCGAGGCCAGAAAGCCGCCAAGAAACCAAGAAACAACCGAAAACCTAGAAACCGAAAAACCCGAATCCCGAGGGCGGAAAACTGCCGAACATCAGGAAACGTGTCGGCCACCACCACCCTTTGTGGAAAACGAGGGCGCCATCGCGGCGATGTGGCCATCATAGAGCTTGGTGATTACGGGATGCCTGTACGAGAATTAAGTCGTGCCTGTCCCTCTACAGGAGGAATATTCAAAAATAGTCAAAACATACTCTGGGTTTTTTTTCTGTTTAGCATGTCTTGGCCATGTTTGAACATTTGTTTACTACTTTTGATGTTTCGTCCAAAATCCGCCTGCAGGGGGGACATGCCCGACCTAACACAAGAACCAGATGTTGCCCCGCAGTGCATGTTGCACTGCTCGTTGACAGGGATGCTGGCCCTGCGCGCAGCAGGCAATATGCGGGCG